GTCCACTGCCTTTATGTTCTACTCGGCATGGAAAAATGCACAAAATAGTTCACAGATGCAACGCGGGATACAAGCGAGGCGGCCGCGCAGGACCCGAGCCGCACGAACCGGCGACACTGTCCTTGAGACTAAGTACCATGTAGTCATATTTTTCTGATTTCTTCTAATTCCAGGTGTTCCAAGCTATCAGTTACTACGATACTGACAGGGAACAAATGATACCGGCTCTGGTGATTTGTCTTATCGTGTATGTTTGCGTCTCTATTGGTGTATTTCTTCTACACTTCACAGCTGTAAGATTCTTTTGATTTATCTCCATTTTTCAAGTTAATTCTCTATATCTAGTCTATTCTATTCGGCAAAGTCGCTGAAGAGCTTATACTTCGCTACAGAGTTACCGCCTTCCGCAACATTCTGCATCAGGTTGGATTAGCACTGCTCATAGAATTTGTTGTATAAATGCTGGAATTTGCAGGATGCTGCTTATTTCGACAACCCGCAACATGCGCCAGGACGTCTAATCACCAGACTTGCGGCTGACGCACCAAATGTGAAGGCGGTGGGTTGCGAGAATTTCTAGTAAGATTCAGCCTAAAAATCGCCAAATTTTACAGGTTCTGGATAGCCGTATGATGTATGTGGTATTCAATATGACAGCATGGTCAGTGTGCCTCATTCTTGCATTCGTATCATGTTGGCAAGTTGGACTGATTGGATTTGTAATGAGGTAACTTTTACACCGTATAAGTCACAAATTTTTTACGTCATCAAGCTTAGAATATCGCTGTTTATATTATAACATGAATTCAAAATTGACCTGAGACAGTGCAGTTAGAGACCTTTATAATCAGAGAGTATACGAGAACTCTCAATAAAGTTGTTTGCTGCAGATATATTCTGTTCCAGATTTTATTTCTTTTCTTCACTCTTTTGCTCAATCTTGTATAGTCTATATTATTGCAAAAACTCAAGAAATACTGCCATATGGCAATATTTTTACCAGCCAACGTCCTTGTAATGTAATTTGGGACTAGGGGGTTTCCAGACTGCAATCATATAGGAGCCTGCAGGATCGCGAGAGTAGTCC